TCTGGTCAAAAAAATGTGCTATTTTGCTTATTTTGCTAAAGGAATGACAACAATGACATGTAATCATCACCAAATACTAAATACAGCAGCCTCATAGAAAAACACACGACATGCTTACCACAAATAAAACATTCATTTTATATTTCATTCCTCAATTTGGAGACATAAAAAATCATTAACTGTAAATTTATTAAGATAAAGACAGAAAATTCACAATTCTTATAATTACAAATATTATCACTAAATATAATAAAAATTCTTAAAAGAAAAAATTTGGTTTCCTTTACGATATGCAATGAAAAGCAAAAGTATGGATTTCTAACTGTTAGCAGAAAAAGTAATTTTTTGAAAATTGCTATTGCTTAGCTCATTCTCTACTTTAAAAATTATCCATAATAACAAAATAATTCAGAACTCCATGAACATATACCTGCACTACAGTTTTAGTTAATTAGAAAAATCAGATTCTTTATTAATACATGATGTGCAATTCATAAAGAAAATTAAATTTGATTAAACATTACTCATTTATATACTTTAACATTTTTATTAAGAATTCTGAACTGCCAAGCTAGAGTCTAATAAAAATCATCTATCATTTTCTTAAATGGCAAAGCCTAAGTTATATTTAAATATTATGTCACTAAAATAATTAGTACATTAAGTATATAACAGACATGTAGAGAGAAATATAATTTATTTCATAATGGTTCATGAGGCCATTGTAAAGAAAATTAAAATTAGAATTTACACCAGAACAAGGAAAACAAGTGACAATTTTCAAATTACTCTCACAGTACTAAGCTTATGAAAACACTTTTTAGAAAATGGGTGTTTAGGGGTTCTAAACATGTATTTCATATTCAATATATATCATTTAGACATTAATTGTCAGGAAAATGAAATAGTCTAGATTTGTCAGTTTTCATCGGCCAAATTTAAAAGTTTTAAAACGTGTTAATTTTGACTAATATGGATCAACTTTTCTCAAGCACATTATTGTATTCCCTTGGTCGACAATCTATACTGAATATTATTTAGTACAATTAGACTCTTGGGACATCACGGTTATGTTTAGCAGTAATCCAAGCACACAGGGCTGCTTACCTACAACCTAAAATTTGTCAGGCTGCTGTGCTGCTTCAGTTGGTGTGCTTTCAGAACAACATAATAATGCCTGAGATTTCAGAACTTTACTTACATTGAAAGCCACCGCTGCTAGTTCCTTGTCTTGGCTAATTTTCTGTTCTCAGATTTTCTCTCTCTCGTTTTCAGTGGATCCACTTCATAAGACTGCTGCTTCTAATTACTACTACTGCCTTCACTAACTACTCTCTTCACTTCTTTCCCTTTTCTCTCTCTCTTTTTCTACCTGTCCCTTTTCAAACTAGATCAGCTTTGGAACCAGCAGGGCTTTAGCTTCATCATTCAGTGAAGACACTCTTTTTTTCCTGGTTAGCAAACTGACAAATCACATCATGTCTTCTGTAAGTACTCCTTCAGTTACTTCCGTGATTGTTTGTATTAAGAACAGTTTCTGGGTTCTCAAACACAGATAAGCACCATATAACCTGGATGGGAATACATCCAGCCCTACCACTAAGTGAACAACATATTTTAAGTATTGTATATTATTTGGCTAACATGTCCCAGTACAAGAGGTTAAACATACAGATGCAGATAATTTTTCATCACTTTGTTTTTTATTTGGGATTGAATAAGTGGTGGCATATAGTTTATGATGGTACTTGAAAAATTTACATAATGGAATTTTTGCTTACAACAACAACTAAATCTGAGTTGTTTAACAAGGATCAACCTGGACTTTGAGTAAGGTTCTTTTAAGCAGAAATGGTTGGAACTGAGGCCTGATGGCTGGTTAATAAGAATGCATTTTTCATTTTTTTTAACAGACATATGGACCTTCCTTAGCAAGAATTTATCCCTTTTTAACATTAACAAGATCAGAGTCTTACAAGATGATTTTTTTTCTCAGAACATATTTAAAAAGGGCCAAAATTAATTTACCTATTTATTTATTTAATAACTAAACTCAATATAGCTATGAATCTTCCCTTAGACTTTGAAAGTTTTTCTTTAATTGAATTCAGATATCTGAAGTATATAGTCCAAGGCAAATTTCATACGAAGTTAGCCTTTTATTTTTTTAATCTATACAAAAAAATAATAAAGCATAGGAAATAACTCTTTAAAAACCAGAAAAGGGGTGCTATGAAAATTGTATTTAATATTTTAATAAACAAAAGTAAATTTGACAAATACAGTAAATTTGTATTTGAAATCTGAAGTTCATAAAGGCAAAAGGTAGAAGGAGGTAAGTTTAAAACAAAAGGCAAGGGCCAGAAAGATAAAATAGTGATTAGCGAGCATGGTGTGGTAGGCAGATGAATACCAGGCAGGATGGTATGAAGTTTCAGAAGAATCCATGTTAGCCTTGTACATTTTCAGTAGTTTACAGCAGCCAAAAGTGAATTAGGCCCTGTCCTTATTCGAGCAAATTAGGGGCCATGGCAGGGAAGATTATAAATTAACCTTCTGATGCCACTTGTCCTATTTCACAGGTGCTATTTTATGGGTAAGTCAAATACTTATAAGAGACCCAATGTGAACTCCAGGCCCAGCAACATTAATTTTAGTAATAGCTGTTCTTAAAACATGAAATTCCTTTAACAGAGAAGGCAAATATTCTATTCCAAATAAATCAATGACAAATTACTTCTACCTTTAAAGCAGGGGTTGGCAAATTATGACCTATTTTTATACATAATGTTTTATTGGACCACAGCTGCACTCATTTGTTTACAAATTGTCTTTGGCTGCTTTTGGGCTACAAGGGCAGAAACTAAACAGTTGTGAGACACCAAAGAGTCTAAAAAATCTAAATTATATATTTGGCCCTTTAAAGAAAAACTTGGTTGAACTTTGCTCAAAATTATAAACTGAATTTGCCTTATTATTAGTAGTAAACATAAAGCACTGAACCCTCGCCTGTTTCTTTTTGGTAGGAGAGGAGAAGGGACCTGGGTTAGGAAGCAAGAGAGTTCTAGGCAACTCAGGGAACAATTTCAATGAAGGAGAGAAAGTAGAAGCTAGGCCATCATGATATTTTGTTGTACGATCATACAGGACCACAGCTTAGTAGAAACTGCTTTTGGGAAGCATAATGCATGCCAATATTGCTACTAATGATTTTAAAATATTTTAACAAGATAACCACTTTTCCAACTTTCTTTTAATATAGCTTCATTCAAAGAATATTCATTTATCATGGTATAGATTTTGGAAATAATTTTCTCCTAAATAATAAAGCCAAATTCAAGATTTCTTATCCTTCCGCATTCCCCACCAATTGCCTGATCTCCCAACACATGTATATCCTGACCCACATACACACATATGTACATGCATATATGTTGAGTATAGAGTATAGATGGTAGGAAGGAAGAGAATTAAAATTCATAAAGAGATAATCTTGCTGGGCTTCTCTCTTAAACATATGCATAGGGCTTATTTTTTAAAAAATATTTAGTTTTTTAAAATTCATTATCAGTATAGAATGAAACAAGTTTTCAGGTATTATATATTAATAATTAATTTACTTTATACTCAAGCTTTTTTTTTTTTTTTTTTTTGAGACAGAGTCTTGCTCTGTCGCCCGGGCTAGAGCGCCGTGGAGTTAGCCTAGCTCACAGCAATCTCAAACTCCTGGGCTTAAGCGATCCTCCTGCCTCAGCCTGAGTAGCTGGGACTATAGGTGACTGCCACCACACCAAGCTAATTTTTTTCTATTTTTAGTAAAAACGGGGTCTCACTCTTGCTCAGGCTGGTCTCGAACTCCTGACCTCAAGCAATCCTCCCGCCCCAGCCACCCAGAGTGCTAGGATTACAGGCATGAGCCACCGTGCCCAGTGTACATGTCAATAATTAAATCTACATCTCATAACCTCCAAAACTAGAAAACCAAGATTATCACACGTGGGCTAATAAATCACAGAAACAGAAAGGGAAAAAGCATCATGAAGATTCAAGTCAAGTTTGCTTTACATAAATATAGTATATATAGTTTTAATATCACGAAGTTTTGAAAAGAAGACACAATTGTTTAAAATATTTACTTGTTGTGGTATTATGAACACTTAGAAATCCAAAAATCCTAATGGCCAGAATCATAATATGCAAATCATAAAGCAGCCTCATTTGAAATGTTTTTCCAGTCATTTCAAGCCATAGTTGGATTTCCTATGATTAGCACTGACACTGTTTTATTTTTACACAATTAAAAGTGTTAAAGTCTAAGGGATAGAAAATATCAAAAATAAAGAATTCAAAAGCAGCATAAAATAGCAAAGATGGTTGTCTAAAATGCTAATCATTGTTTTAAATCAAAAATATGGCTTGATTAAAGGAAACTTCTCAATTATCTATAAATCCCAAACAAAATTAAACTAGTCCATTTACCCCAACCCCTCCAAAACAACACAAAGCAAGCTGAATGATAAAAGCCTATTTCTAAAGCTAATATCTTGCCTGCGAGACTGGGAGGGCTATGAGAACTGAAGGCTGAAAGAGCTTTGGAAAAGCCCACACATTCCATGGAGAATACCACTACCTGGTGGGGGCTAGGCATAGCAAAGTGCCTTCCTGCCAAAGAAAGAAGAAAGAATCTGTATTTGGGATAGAACAAAAACCAGTATTACAGTGTATTTCAAAACAAATGAAAATTTCAATAGCAAACAATTTAATAAAATTACATAAGATAATTCTAATCACTGGTGCAGGAGCATCTTAAAGACTGAAAACAGTACCAGAAACTTTACTACTACATTTTCACCATAAAACTATTTGTTCATGCTTTTAGAAAATGATTTGTAACAAGAACTTTCTGAAACTAGATTAAAATGTAGTTATATTTGAGAAAGTTACAAGTTGAATGAATAAATAAAGCTTCAGTGTTAAGGGAATAAAGATTAAAAACTCACCAGGTAAAGCTTTTGAATGTGTCTGTTCTATGCTGGGAACATGTGCACCTCCACCAAATACAGCAGACCACATTTTTTCATTTAGAGGATGGGCCACAATCCGAAATAGTTCATTACTAGAATGTGTAGCAAGACCATGGATGAAGAGACTAAGATACACTGCTGTGAGAATCTCACAGAGCAAGATTGTAAGCCCTGACTGGGCTTCCTCGCCAGAAGAATTCAAAAGTCGAATTAGATAAGTTATTCCTAGAACAAACAACAAACATAGCTGCCACTTAAAATAAACTTTAAAAATTAAAAATTAACTAGTTTTTCAAATTTTTGAAATTTTTCTAATTGAAAAAAGAATGCATTGCATCAGAATTAGATACTGTATTTTCTTCCCTACTTTCAAAGACTAGTAGAGACAATTATAGTTAATGCACAGATGTTGAGCAATTTGTTCAATTTACAGAAAACACTAAAAATCTGCAATCTGACTCAAATCTCATAGATAATATTTTATTGGTGTAAATGTTTTTCTATTATAACAAAAGCAAAATTATTTTAAAAAATGATACTACAAAACACTTCCGTTATTTTAGTCTAACAATCCAGGAAATACTAATGTTAAGTAAGTGCATACTTTGTAATGAGTAATGAATATTGAACTGGTATCGATTTTAGCAGTATTGAACAATGATTATCATGTGGCAAAACCAAACAAAATCTGCTTTTTACTTATTTAAGATTTTCAATAAGGCTAAGAAAAAACTCATATATATAAAAATTATTTATACCTGGCCATTGAGCTGGTGACGTATTGGGAGTTATTGCTTCATCTAAGCTTCCTGTTTTCAAAGAATGGCGATGGGGAAGCAGTACGGTTTGATATACCATTCCAGTAAACTGATTTGTTTGAAACGAACTAAGAGAAGAAAACAATATTTAGATCTATGATGAATTTCACATATATTTCCATGTTTTAGATTTAATTTCTAGGGTACGAATTTTTATAAATTATAAAATTATAAATTTTATAAATTATAAAATTACATCTCAGTAGTGTACTGTATAATCTAGTACTATATTAAAACAAAGTATCCTTTAAGTATAAATATACACATTTTCTAAATTAAAATACATTTGACAGGTATTAAGTTTTCTTTTCTTTTTTTTTTTTTTTTGAGACAGAGTCTCACTGTGTTGCCCGGGCTAGAGTGCCATGGCGTCATCCTAGCTCACAGCAACCTCAAACTCAAGCAATCCTTCTGCCTCAGCCTCCCGAGTAGCTGGCACTACAGGCATGCGCCACCATGCCCAGCTAATTTTTTCTATATATTTTTAGTTGTCTGATTAATTTCTTTCTATTTTTAGTAGAGATGGGGTCTTGCTCTTGCTCAGGCTGGTTTCAAACTCCTGAGCTCAAACAATCCACCTGCCTCGGCCTCCCAGAGAGCTAGGATTACAGGCGTGAGTCACCACGCCCGGCCAGGTATTAAGTTTTATTTAGTGAAAGACACAGAGTAAGTACAAATGAAAACCAAGAAAACCAAGTCATTATGGACCACAGTAAAACATAGTTATCTGGTTGAAAATAAAGTCAGTTTAGGTTCCCTTTTACATTAGTGACTAACTTGCTCTATATCAGGCACTACACCAGATACTAGGCATATAATCAAAAACATAATTTCTGTCCCCATGAAATTTATACTTTGGTGGGAAGATAAAACACAAATAATTTATCATATTGTTCTTAAAGATGAAACCTATTCATATGGTGCTAAGAAGGCAAAAGAGAAGAATATTTCACACAATTTGGGAATTCTGGATGAGCTTCCCCAAGTAAATGACACTTGAAGCTAGAACTAAGTAAATAGATGAAGAAAATAACTTATAGCTTAACATAAACTATAAAATAATTCTGATAGAAAACAGTATAAAGAATTATGTTAGGCCCGGTGCGGTGGCTCACGCCTGTAATCCTAGCACTCTGGGAGGCCGAGGCGGGTGGATCGCTCAAGGTCAGGAGTTCGAGACCAGCCTGAACAAGAGCCAGAACCCATCTCTACTAAAAATAGAAAGAAATTCTCTGGACAACTAAAAATATATACAGAAAAAATTAGCCGGGCATGGTGGCGCATGCCTGTAGTCCTAGCTACTCGGGAGGCTGAGGCAGGAAGGAGGATTGCTTGAGCCCAGGAGTTTGAGGTTGCTGTGAGCTAGGCTGACGCCATGGCACTCTAGCCCGGGCAACACAGTGAGACTCTGTCTCAAAAAAAAAAAAAAGAATTATGTTAAATCCATCAGAAATTCCTATATCATACCTTAAGTAAATGAATACAATATTTAAACATTGCACATTTATTGGTTTAAATGTATTCTGATTGGCAAATTTCTGGCCATAACATTTTGATGCATTTGTAAATAGTTTCTCTTGCTTTACTTTGCAGTTTTAAGATGACAGAGTAACAACAAAAAAATCTCCTGCATGCTATAGTACACACCTATGGAAATGACAGGAAAGATAAAAATACATTGATGAAAATAAAGCCACACTCAATAATCAGAAAGTAAACTCTTAGAGGACCAGGGACAAAGAAATCAAGTTGAAGCTACCTTGGGAATACACAATCAGAGTGGTAAGTGAGGCTACTCATAGGAAATTCAAATACATAAGATGAACAAACAAAAACCAACATCAAGCGAAGCTGATATCATGTAAGAAGTAATGAACTCATTAAAAGATCTTCACCTGAGGAGACTGACGTACCAGAACATTAAGGATAGTACTTTATACTCAAGCTTTTTTTTTTTTTTTTTTTTGAGACAGAGTCTCACTCTGTTGCCCGGGCTAAAGTGCCGTGGTGTCAGCCTAGCTCACAGCAACCTCAAACTCCTGGGCTCAAGCGATCCTCCTGCCTCAGCCTCCCAAGTAGCTGGGACTTCAGGCATGCGCCACCACGCCTGGCTGATTTTTTCTATATATTTTTAGCTGTCAATTAATTTCTTTCTATTTTTGGTAGAGACAGGGTCTCACTCTTGCTCAGGCTGGTCTTGAATTCCTGAGCTCAAACGATCTACCCGCCTCGGCCTCCCAGAGTGCTAGGATTACAGGCGTGAGCCACCGCACCCGGCCTATACTCAAGCTTTTAAAAAAATCAAGAAATAAATGTTATCAAAATAGAAGCAACTATTACATTCAACAAGAAATCTTATTTTTTAAAAAATTTTTTGAGTGGGAGGGGCTAAATGGGGAGAGGCCACAGGAGGAGAGGGCTAACGGGCTCAATAAGAGATCTTCAAAACGAACAACAGAATTTCTAAAATGCAAACTCCGACTAAATAAAGACAGGACATTACTGAAGAATGAATCAGTGTTTGGAAAATGAGACTAGGATTTTTCCTGAATGGAAACAAAAGAGATAAAGAAAAGGAACATAGGAAAGTTAAAAGAAAAATAAGATAGATCCACAAGTTCCAATATCTAATAGGAAAGAAAACAGAAGACAGATGTGACAATAAAGTCAGAATATTTCAAAGAACTACTAAAGACAGACACTAAAGACCCCAGAGTGTAGCAAATAATATTTTTTAAAGCCTAAATAAATTATGGTGAAACTTTAGAGCATAAAGAGAAAAATCCTATGCGTCAATTCTTCTATAAAATTTTTCTCAATTCCAAATCAGTTACTCCCTCCTCTGTGCTCCTAAGCCTTTTACAATCTATCATATTATGGTACTTACCATTTAAGTACTATGCCATTTTACGTATTTATCAGTTCACATGTTTTGTCTTTAACTAGACTGACCTTAAGGAAAGAGACTTTGTCTCATTCATGTTAAAATTCTCAGTGTCAGTCACAAAGTCTGATATAAGGCAGTGATCAATAATAGGCTCCTAAATAAGTTACACTGACAGGTTTACTTCAGATTCGTTTGCCATAGAGGCATAAGCTAAAATTTCAAAGATGAGCAAAAAAGCACTCAACACCTCAGCCATGTGCTTTTTGTATCATTTAAAAGTAGACTGCTATTTATAGTTCTAAAGCAATAACACATAAAATATGAAACCTCACCGGTTACTGAAAACATTCGTAAATTTCAAAAAAAAAAAAAAAAAAGATATTTACCTGTAGTTATGACTACCACAAAGGCACTGATAAATACAAGCAGAAAGTGAGGCTGCTAAAGTATGCATTACATACACCTGGAAAAAAACAACAAAATTACTTTAAGTGTAACTTTTTTTTTAAAGTATAGGTTTTCTCAAGACCTAATATGATTAGCATTTTAAAGAAGATAAAAAAAAACCTTTTGACTCTATGAACTATTTCCTTCTTTTTTCTATAAAATTCATTTCTACCTAGAGAAGTCTCACTACAGAAAATTTAAAGAAAAAACACTGAGTCCTTTGGCAGAAATTACAAAACACATATCTGGTACCTGATATTTTCTTTTTAATTCACATGGTTGTGATTGTGCATACCTGATTTCTTTTTCAAAAGTAAAGGGGAACAGATGTCAACTATCCAGTAGAGTAGGAATCATGTACTAAAAGCAAGCCCTCCAACGTTCAACCTGCTTTTTCCTCAAACAAAATATGAAGGAGAACAGACTGATAACTGACAGTGCACCTATGGTCAGGTCATTGAAGAATATGCTACCACATATTCTAGTTACCACAGAAAACAATTCCAAGACAGTGACACTTTAGAAAAAAGAGAAAAGATAAGGTATGAGAAACTGTAATTGAAAAGCAGTAGAGTCGAACACTTATTCTGAGGAAGAGAAGACTCTAAATATGGCATGGCAAGAGCTGTAACACAAGCAGAACTGAGAGGATGAAGAAGCAGCTTAAGCTAGGCAATAAAGTAGACCAGTCTAGAATATTAAAAGACTAGGTTCTTGATCCGATTATGAAGTATAACGTCTTTTATGTAGATAAAAATGGGGAGTGATAGATCACAATTTAATAGCTAATTTCTCCTTTGATTGTCAATAAAACATGTTGTATGAATTCAAATCAAAGATACCATCATATAATTGAAGATGGCAAAGGCCACGTATGGGAGACTGCAAAAATGATCACAATATTTTGCAGGTTGTGCAATATAGAGTTGGAGTCTGTTTGTCCACTTATTGAATCTGAGCTAGTCTTGTAACTTGCTTTAATCAAGAGCACACAACAGAAGTGATGTGTAAGTTCTGAACCTACACCTCAAAAGGCCTTGCAAATTATATTCTTTCTGCTCTTAAACCCCTGCAACCACCATGTGAAAGAGAATCTAGGTGTGACTGGGCCATGGGGTACACTGACATTTGGTCAAACATTATTTTCGGCGTGTCAGTGAGGTGCTTCAAGATGAGATAAACATTTGAATCAGTAAACTAATTAAAGCAGATTGTGCTCTGTAATGTGGGTGGGCATCATCCAATCAACTGGAAGACCTGACTAGAACAAGAAGGCCAAATAAGAGGTAACTCCTTCTGCCTAACTGCATTGAGCTAGGGCATTCGTCTGTCTTCTGATTTGAACTGAAACATCAGCTCTTCTTGGGTCTCAAGCCTGTTGACTTCCAGACCAGAACTTACACCTTAGGCTTTCCTGGTTCTCAGGCCTTCAGACTCAGACTGGAACTACACCATCAGCTCTCCTGGGTCTCCAGCTTGCCAACTGCAGATCTTGGGACTTCACAGCCTCCATAGTCACAGGAGCCAATTCCTCATAATAAATCTCTCTTTCTCTCTCCACACACACACATCCTATCGAGTCTGTTTCTCTGGAGAACCCAGACTAATATATTAGGCTTGTCTGCTGGAGGATGAGACACGTATGACCCAGATTCTCCTGTCTGCCCTGTCAACAGTCTGCCAACCACCAGAAATGTAAATGATGCCATCCTAGATCATCTAGAATCCAGTCAACCCACCAGCTGATCAAACGCAATTAAGAGAGTCCAAACATCAGTCCAGCTGGCCCAAACCAGAAGAACTGATAAAGCAACCCACAGAATCATGAACAAAATAAACGATGGCATTTTTTAAGCCACTAATATTTTAGGGCAGTTCTTAAGCAGCAAAAGATAACTGATACACCACAGTTATGCTATAATTAAAGTTAAATAAGGAATATAGCTTGGCTGAAATGAGCAGAATCTGAAGTAAATTAAATTCCGAATTGTATAATAAGCACTATGGGCATTTATACTACAAAGCAATACAGGAAAAGTAGTGAAATTCAATTACAAGGAATAAGGTTATCCAAAAGGGTAAAACTGTGGAAGGAGAGTCAAGCAGAAAATTAAACTGGTGTGATACTGTAACCTGTAAGGTGGGAAAAACCAAATGATGATGAGGGAAAAAACTAAGGAGATATTAAAAAATAGTCAAACTTGGTCAAAGGTCATATTCCAAGGATTTCAATATGTCTGGAGAGTAAAGATAAAATATGAAATGTGATTTTAACAATAGATAAAATAGAGTGATGATGCCTAGGATGCTACACTTAATTAGATAATTAACTATAACAATATGATTAGTTAAGCATTAGATAAGGTTCCATCAGTTTTTTTGGCTAAATGTACTACTAAAGAAATGACTCATATTTTAATAAAGCATCTAACTAAGACTAAATAACTAGCATTTTGATAAAAAATTAAAGTACCCTATTGGGTATAAGTAACACAAGTAAGTTAGGCCTGGTCTATAACAGAAGCTGTCTTTAATTAGAATCAATATAAACTTGGCAATGTAACACTAGCTATGTCTAGTCTGATGTTTAAAATTGTTTTTAAGAAAAGACTTAACACCCAACTTGTAGTTTTATCATTATATATAGGTAAATTACAAGCTTAAGACCAACTATACTTACCTTATTGCTTTGGATATCAGGATGGGGTGGTGAATCTAAGTTTATGATGGCATGTAGAATATCATGTGTTAGATTACTAAGGTGTAGTAATGGGTTGGCAACTACTGTTTTGGCACTGGCTGTACAAGCGAAGAGGAGAGGCACTGAGGTTTGCTCTGACAGAGGGCTAGGAAATAGTGGTTCTGACGTTTCCTTAGAAAGAGAGGAAAGAAAATTTAATGAACTATTTATAGTCACAATCCATTACTTAAGTAATTCAGGGGGCTCTTTGAAACACTTCTAAACAATTAAAAACTGAAAGCATAGTAGAAATTTTGAGAATTAGAAGGGACCTGAGAAAGTCAACATTCTACAAATCGTATTTAAAAATAATGGAATACCCTATTTTAGTAAGGAGAAGCTCATCACCTCACAAAGCATCCATACAAGACTGGAGTATGGATTAAGCAGGCCATAAGGCCTGATACTGAATTACCCTCAGACTGAAATACATACTCATCTCTACAAATTTTTAATACGAAGGCCCACACAAAAGGGAGCATTCCCTAAAGCAACTGTAATGCAGAAAATCAATAGTTTTAATACTCAAAACCAAAAGAAAACACCAAAAACTGTTTCGGATGTGCTATTTTTTTACTATCATATAAGTTACATACCTGCTGAGATTCTTGTAAAAGCAAAATCAATTCCATTCTCACAGATGCAAGACCCCCACCATGGGATCCATGAAGTATGCAGTAACTAAGAAACATCCTCAAGAGTGACTGATATTTCAAGAGCCACTGTCTTTTTTCCTGAAAATTTTCTCTCAGTTGTTTCACTTTTGTTTGGTGAAGCAAATCTTCAGCATCCTCATTTAATTCAAATCCATCTCCATTTTTGCCAACTGCAGACTGTAGTTCTTCACCATCTGAGCAGAAGTCACAAGTCCTCTGAAGAGCTATTACCTCTTTTTCAAGCCAGTGGTATAGTTGGTAACGCAATTTCCCACCATCTATTTCATAACCAGTAGATAAAGTACGAAGTTCGACTGTGAGAATCTTTAAACATGCTCTAAATTTTAACTGAACTGCAATTATATCTTCTGATGGATTTAAGATGTCATTTTCATCTAGTGTGCTGAAAGATTCTGTGTAATTAGAACTTATTTCCTCTAATTTTTTATCTATTTTTCTCTGTAAAGGTTTCAGTTCTTTCATTGCAATAGGGAGATCCTCATTTTCCTCGTCATTATCACTGTCCCATTTTAACTCTAAAGAGTCATCCTGAAATACAATACTTGGTTGGCTCCAGTCAAAAGAAAGAGTGGAGTTTGATTGCTTCTCTGAGGAACCCTCTGAAGAAGATCCAAAACCATTCATCAGTGACTGTGACCAATCAACAGCAGAAGACTTATCTTCCCCTGTATCCAACTTTAATGGTGAAGAAGGAGAACAGTCTTTACTAGTATCCAGAAAACTAGATGCTCTACAAAAAGGTTTTGTTTTCTTGATAACTTTGGGCATCTTTGATAATACTTCCAAAGCCAACATGGGGCAGCCAGCTTTTAAATGAGCACTGGCAGTAGTAAAAAATAATCTTCTTTCATTTAAATTAATTGTTCCTGCCAGTCCACTTTTTCCTGCTAGACCCATGTGTGTGGAAAACATATCAGTTGATCCAAAATGACGTCTCAGCAAAAGAGGATGTGTTCTTAGGTAATTGTAGAAATTAAAAACTGTGGGATTACAGGATGACATCATGACTTGATCTGAAAGTAAATTCATTTTATGAGTCATTTTCTCAGTAAAACTCTAAACTCCTATATACTGAGACCTACATTTCCACTTGCATGTAGACACTTTTTTGCCTCAGGGTATTTTTATTTAGTGTCCCACTGATCCAACCACTCTTTACCCAGATATCTACTTGATTAACTTACTCATTTTAACCAGTTCTTTGGTCAAAGTTCACCTTATCAGAGAAGGCTTCTTGATATAAAACTACGCTTCCCCATTTAATTTACCTATTGCTCAAGCTAAAAACTGAGGAGTTATCCATGACTCCTGATTCCTTCAGGCTCCATATCCAATCCAGTCCTGTCTAGTCAACCTTAAAATCATGTCCCAAATCCAACTACTTTTCTCTGCCTCCACTCCTATCATCCTGGTCCAAGACACTATTACCTTTTGTAATTTTCTTCTAGAAGAATATGGGTTTAATTGGCTCTAAAGTATGTAAACATGTATTAATGTCAAATCAAAACACATTTTTTGTAAGAATATGTGTAAGTATAAGAAACTGGCTAGAAAGGGTGTTTTGTTTTCCCCTTCATTACATAGAGGTCAGTTTGAAAATCTTTAGCTCAGATGGCTGGGAGACTCAAACAAATGAGTTACATGGCTTTCTCATAAGTTAGAAGGCACATGATATTTCCTGATTAAATGATGCCACACAAAAAAATATGAACTAGAACCTTTTCCAATTACTATTCCAAATGATATGACATCTACTACACCAGTTAGAGACACAATTCAATTCTACCTATGGAAAAATAGGTGAAAAGCAAATTCCATTACATTTACATAAATTTATATAAAGAATTCCATCTTACACTAGCCTCTAGGAAGACTTTAGCAGAGAGAATTTCTAAAAGTAAAAGCAGAAGTAGAGCCCAAAATGGTATATCAAAAAAAATCTCTACCTCACTTACCTCATGAACAAGACAGCTAAGAGTTTATTTAGCTTAAGATTTTCTATCATATTACTTAAGTCAACTTCCTTTATATTAAATACATTTTTACTATAAGAATTATAAAGCTGATTAACACATTAAATTCAACCTAAGATAAAAAAACTGGCTTTATGTAAGTATTTCTTCAAAATGTTTATATTCAAGTGTTGACAATATTTATGCTCAATATCTATTTCATAAAAATAAGAAGTTCATAGTTCTTGGTTTTCAAAGGATTTATCTTTCTGAAAACAAAAAACAAAACAGTGTGTGTGTGTATATAACCCTGTGTCCTCTAGCAAACCATAAAGTCCTAAGACTATGAAATTCAATTTGTCTGCATTATCCTTAGCAACCAACGGAATGGTCTGCACATCCAGCAAGTACCAGTAACACTCTTAATTATTAACATCTTAGAAATGCAGCTTACCATCATCCTCTCTGATAGGTTGCTTTATTAATGTTTCCAGAGCACCACTATAATCTTCCAAAATCCAATATGCCATACTCCGAAGAAAAGGATCATAATGTATATTTATGTTCAATGAACTGAGTTCCTTGACAGGAGAATCAATTCCCAAAACTTTTTTACGTAAAATAGATTTATATGTTGCAGATGTATCAAATTCAGACTCATAGAGTCTTGCTATTACGAGAGCCAACTGAATGTCATTCAGTTTCTCCAGACATACCTTTATAAAAAGAGAAATAGTGTTTATAAATAAGCAGGGGCAGCTTTCATTTTTATATAAACTCAACTAATAACTAGAAAAAAGGCTTTATAAATATCCAAAATTGGCAAACAAGGATTAGAAACAAAACATATACTGCTTGCTTTAGCAAATCTATTTGACAACATTTATGTTAATACTTGTAAATCTACCTGTTAGTATTAAATATATATTTAATATTTGCAAAAAGAATTAGCCTAATAAGGAAATACTAGATAATTTTAAATAGTACCAATTCAAGCTATGTATTTTATTTCAGTCTTGAAACTCTACTCTTCTCCATGCATCCCAGTAGACTATAGTGTTTCCAAAATAAAAGGCTATTTTGAATTACTTGTATGAAACTGAGCAAAAGGGCAACGTGACAGAAATGTTATGATATCTTAAATGTTCATAATTTTTTTAAGGTTTACTGGGAAATAAACAGTTAAGAATTTTCTAAGATTCATCAAATAAGACAGCCAGATATGGGTTCAAATATGTTTAAGCTGATAGGACAAACCTTTTAATTTTTTTTTAACCTGTTCATGAATATCCTTAAGAGCCAGATCAATTACTTATCTGTACCAATCCACAAAATCTAATTAATCTTAATTCTGTATAAATACCATTCAAGCTAAATGAAAAAAATTTAAAATATCACTTAAAATATTAACAGTTACTTTAGGTATGTATTTAGCCTTATGTCATATCCACTACAGTTGAAATTAAAAAATAAAAATTTAAGCCCTAAAGAGCTTAAAAGGATGATAATGGTATTTCCATTTAAAGTTCCATTCATTACCTCAATTGCATCTCTGAGGCGACCAGCTAAAAGAAAAAATGCTGCAGAATGTTCAAATCTTTGTTTGCCTAGCAAAGAAAAAGCATTCTTTAAAGCTGCTTTACGCCATCGTTCATCCTCAAAATTGTGTCCAAAAAACTGTGTCATCCTGGTGTCTTTTTGAGATCTATAAAGGGGAAAAAAGTATAAAAATTTTGGAATACAATTTTTCTGCAGCAGAATCAATCTCCTAAGGTTACGACTTAAAATTGAAGGCTCAATAGAAACATTTGACAGTTCATAAATTACTATGTAGTTTGCTTCTTTTCCCAGCAAAAAATAGGTAAACATTTATTTTTTCATATAAATCTCAGAGATTATTGAAAAAATTTTCTTTCAAATTACAAAGAAAATCACATTAGTAGTAGGTAAAAAATTACTTTTAAATCCATGAAAAATATATAATTTATATTAACTTCTGTGCTACTTCACCACTTAAAATTCATTAGTAAGTAACGTTTCCTTGCCACCTATATGAGAATGACTTTAGTGATCAAAATCTAAAAAATTCACCCTGATTCAAAACAAGCCTAAAACATCCAGTATCTTAAAAAATTGATCTGGCACCAAAATTTTCCCCCAAAGGTTGCTGTTCATGTGGATCACCTGGAACTAAACCCCAAACAAATAGTGAATTATTTATGGTCATCATGTTCGTCAGTCTTGCTGAGAAGTAAAAAAGAAATTCTAAGTGAATTCAGCTCAGGAATGAAGTCAGGGCCCACAGGAGGGAGGTAGTTTTGAGGGATAACCTGGCCCATGTGCTTTCAATAGGACAGAGGGTATATGCATATTACAGATTCTACCAATTCATCCTATTCCCCACCCCAAATGTAAGTTTCTGCTTTAACTACTGTAGTTTCACAAGAGCATCATGAGACGTTCTTAAAATAAACAAAGAATGTGTTTCTGGACTGACAATTCTGAAAACAAAGTGAAGTGACCTCATCAGGTTTCTTCCACTCTGGAAAACTGGGCTTTTTCCCTATGACATCTCTCTATACATACAAAAATAACTAAGAATCTACACGAATCAACATCAACAAAAACTACAAATCTTACTTTGTACATTTACTCCCTATGAACAGTTTTCACTTTGAAGCACGGTTTTCTTACATACCTATATAATCCCCAAATCACAGCTTTCTTTTTCATTGCAAGGTAAAAAATGGCAGCATCTAAAGGATCGTTCTTTCTATAAAAGGCTGCTTTGGCTACCTATAATCAGAAAATACTGGTCAAAATTGTACAGAAACAGCTTTTAAGTAAATAAATAATTTCCCTCACATACAAGACTAGCACACATTATCTAATTAAAAGTTCAATAAATTTAAAAAATATGTATATGAATACATGTATGCATATATAAAATAACAAAAGTAACTTATAGGCTGGGTGCAGTGGCTCATGCCTGTAATCCCAGCACGTTGTGAGGCTGAGACAGGAGGATCGCTTGAGGCTAGGAGTTTGAGGCTGCAGTGAGCTATGATTGTGCCACTGCACTCTAGCCTGGGCAACACAGCAAGACCTTGTCTTTGCAAAAAAACAAAAAGGTAGAGAAAGAGTAATAGCAGAGGAGATATGGAATGCAACCTGAAAAAACATCCAAAACATATTAATTCATTTTTACACCAAAATAAAACACTTACTTTTTCTATGCATTTGCGTAAGATGCGGGTATTCCGGACCCACCATCCCACACCCATAGCTCTTAGTTCAGACCAAGTGGGATCATCTTTCTGCATTGCTGGCAACATGTTCAGCAATTCTTCTTCTGCTACTGAGTGAAATGCCCAAGCAAAATGACTAGTAGACAGGCCTGAAGAAATGTAAAAAATAATGTTTATAAGAAATACAAATATAATTACACAATGATTATCAGAAATATGTGCCCCATATTTGCAATATAATTGTATAAACTTACAACTCTTATCACTCCAGTGAGCATATATTTTATATAATTAACATTTTTTTAAAAAAAGAAAAGACAAAATGCTTATGGTAAATACCACTGTGCTGAAGTATTTTTGTTCTCTATTACCCATAATGCTTTTTTGAAAATGATAAAAATTTAAAGCATTATTGTATATTGGTATGTTTCTCTCTTCAAAGCTGTTTCTCACCCTTCTTTGGTCAATATTTGTTTTTTGGATATAATTCCATGAAATTAAAAAAATCAAGTAAACAGAATAACTTGGTGAACTAAGAATAGTGCTGCAAAGACTCCACAATCAGAACACACACATTAAATTCCAGCTCTACTGCTAACTACCTAAATAACCATGGGCAAGTTCCTTAGTCTCTTAAAGCCTCCATTTCTTCATATACAAAATGTAAATAATCATGGAACTACCTTTATACACAGTTTTGAGGATTCAATGAAATAATATAGTTTAAAATTTTGAATAGAATCTGGCACATAATGATTTTTCATATCACCATATTGGTAATAAGATATTTTTATAGTTATACCACATCATTTATGTCAGCAATTCTCTCAATCTAATGGCCTGCACATGTGGTATTTACTGCTCAGCTTCTATTTTCTCTCTTCAGAATACCATTTGTTTAGCATTACTGGGTGAAGTAAATGATTATTATAATTATAAATGTAGCTTTGAGATATAGGACCAAATTTATAACCTATGCCAAGGAATAATATCCTATACCAAGTCATCTGAAATGCTTGCTACACCAAAGACTTTGGAAATAGAAAAGTAGAAATTTAAAAAAAAAACTATGCCATGAATGGACTATTATTCTAAATTATTTTTAGATCCCTATTATCTAGCAACTTCAATAAATTTTCATAAATAATTAAAGAATTTGATTTAGACATTAGCCAAGCAGGCAGAACAGGAAGTCCCAGGCTTCACTCCATGCCATGTTTGCATATTTGTGTCCCTCCAGAATTCAAGTTGAAACTTAATCCCCAATGTAACAGTATTAACAGGTGGGGCCTTAAGGAGATAATTATACCATGCCTGCATGAATGGGATTAATGCTCTCACAAAATGGCTCAAGAGAACTAGCTGGTCCTTTTTGCCCTTCCCACCATGTGAGGATGCAGCAACAGGGCATCATCTATGGTGCAGAGATCAAACCCTTACTAAACACCGATTCTGCTGGCACCTGATCTTGGACTTCCCAGCCTCCAGAAATGTAAAAAATAAATTTCTATTATTTATAAATTACCGAGTCTAAGTTATTTTGTTATAGAAGCCCAAAAAGACTAACACACCTTCCCCCCACCCCCAAAAGTTCATCTAGCAACTATCCACAGACAAGAACACCTTTTAATAATAATAACCCCCAAACCTGGGAATGAGCCTGAGACACCTCCGTGGACCACAGAACCGAATAAAAACTGCATCACAAGGGTAAAAGTAGCTGTCTCACTTTGAGTGCATCACCCCTCCTCCTCCAAGTCAGTACAGTGCAACACAGAACGGGTTCCCCTGGATCCAGAGTTTCTATAGTGGGAAAAGAAAGCTGGGGGCAGATATCCAGCTTCTCTAGCATTCTCAGATACTTTCTAGGAAGCCCATGCTGGTCTCACCTCATGAGGAACACTGGGGACAATGGCACAGCTAAACTGCTTGAGGTCGGGTAGAAACAAAGAAAGAAGGTGGAGCTCACAGCAACCAGCACACAGATCCTCGTGGTAACTCTGTGTTCCTGCCATTGGTAGTGCCCAATGAGAGGTATCAGCCAACACCATAGCACCACAGCCCACCCTCAAAAGCTGAGCTGGTTACTTTCAGAAACACGGTAGGAAGTTCAGCCTGGCTTGAATTCCTGGATGGCCAGCCTTAGAGCCCATTCCAAGGCCCCACGCAGACAAGGAGATGTCTACCTCAGTGCATTTCAGAAAAGCTGAAGGGCTAGGACTGCCCAACCTAGAAGTCCAAACAACAGCTTGACTCAGACTCAGACACCACCCCAAGGCCCTGCCCAGGCAAGGAGACACCTGTCGCCTTGGTACATTTCTATAGAGCTTAGGGATTAGACCTGTCTAACCTGAGACTCCAAACAGTGCATGACCCAGACTCAGCCCACTGCAAGGCCACCCTGAGATGCCAGCCACAGTGCATGTCTGTGGAGAACAGAGGTTGAACCTGGTGATTCAGGAGTCTAAATAGTGGGCCCAGACTCAGAGCATACTCCAAGGCCCTGCCCAGTCAGGGAGACACTCGTTACAACACATTTCTGCAGTGTACAGGGGCTAGACTTGACTGACCTCGGAGGCCAAACAGATGCTTGGCCCAGCCCCAGAGCCCATACCAAGCCTCCACCCAGGCAGAGAGGCAAGCCTCAACTATGCATTTCTATAGAACATAGGCTCTGGACCTGTCCATCCAGAGTAGCAACTCTGCCTAACCTTGGGGCCACCCCACAGTCCTGTCTAACTTCAGAATAAAAATAGCAATGTTCTCTGGCCAGTGAACAAATCTTGTGACCCAGCCAGCAATTCTGATTGATTGCACAGCCAGCTCTGACCGACTGCAGAGTTCAGCCAGTGGTCTCATAGAACAAAACACAGCCAGCAGTACCACCTAACCTCAAAACAAAGGCAGTGGGCCCAGCCACCTAGAGAACCTGACAGCAAGCTCCACCTGCCTGGGGTCATTTCCAGCTGACCTATGCGTAATCAGAGGCTAGACTAAATAGTGAAAGTCCACCCCTGCCAAAAAAATACCTGTAAAGGCCAGAATGGGTGGCTGTCTCCTCAAATGTGTGGACACCAAAGCAAGGACATGAGGATTGTGAAGAATCAGGGAACTGTGACACCTCCAAAAGAAACTACTAATAAATAGAGATTTGAACCCTAAAGAAAGAGAGATCTATGAAATGACTAACAAAGAATTTAAAATAATCCACTTAAAAAGTTCAGTGAAGTACACAAATATATGAACGGAAATTAAATGAACTTCAGGAAAAAAAACACAAACAAGAGGACAGAAAAATAGAAACAAAAACCTAATTGAAATCCTCGGGATGAAGAATACAATAACTGAACTGAAAAATTCAATAGAAAGCTTCAATAACAGGCTTGTTATCAAGCAGAAGAAAGAATCAGCAAGCTCAAGACAGAACATTTGAAAATATCTAGTCAGAGGAACAAAAGAAAAAAGAATGAAGAAAGCCTACAGGAATTATGAAACACCACGAAGAGACCTAATTTTCATATAATAGAAGTTTCAGAAGGAAAGGAGGGACAAAAAGGGCCAGAAAGCATATTTAAAGAAATAATGGCTGAAAACTTCCCAAATCTGGGGAAAGATGCTAACATGCAGGTATAGGAAACATAAAGGTCTCCAATCAATTTCAATCCACAGAGGAGTCCACTAAGACACATAATAACCAAAGTACCAAAAATCAAAGACAAAGAAAATATTCTGAGCAGCAAGAGATAAGAAGCACATCACATATAAGGGAGTCCCAATATGGCTACCAGTGAGTTTCTCAGCAGAAACCCTGCAGGCCAGGAGAGTGAAATGATACATTCAACGTGCTGAAAGAAAAAAACAAACAACAACAAAAAACTGCCAACCAAGAATACTTAGCCCTGCAAAGCTCACCTTCAGAAATGAGGGAGAAACAAAAAATTTCCCAGACCAATAAAAGGTAAGAGAGTTCATTACCACTAGGCCTGCCTTACAGGAATTGCTAAAAGGAGTTCTTTAAGCTAAAATGAAAGGCCGCTAATTAGTGACATAAAATATTTGAAAGCAGAAAACTCAAGCATACTCAGAATACTCTAGGACTGCAATGGTGGTGTGTAAAGCAAATTTATCTCTAGTATGAGGGTTAAAAGACAAAATTGTTAAAAAACAATTATAGCTAAAATACACGTCAAGAGATACAAATTATAAAATGATATAAATTCTGACATCAAAACATAAAATGTGGGGATGGGGGAGTTGTATGGGATCAAAGTTAAGTTGTTATCAGCTTGAAATAGCCCATTATAAGTATGTTTTATGTAAACCTCATGGTAACAAAAAGCAAAAATGTATACTAGATGCACAAAACATAAATGGAAAGGATTCAAAGCATACCGCAACAGAAAACCAGTAAATGACAAAGAAAGCAAGAAGAACAAAGAAACTAGAACAACTTCAAAACAACTAGAAAATAAATTATAAAATGGCAGTAAGTTCTTATTATTAATTTAAATGTAAATGAATCAAAATCTCCAATAAAAAGACAAGAGTAGCTGAATGGATATAAAAGTAAGATTCTACTATACACTGCCTACAAGAGACTAGCTCACTTTTAGGAACACACATCCAGTGAAGGGACAGAAAAAGATACTCCACACAAATGGAAACCAGAAGAGAACAGGGGTAGCTATACTCATATCAGATAGACAGTAAGTCAAAAACTCAAAGGAGGCCAGGCGCATGGCTCACGCCTGTAATCCTAGCTCTCTGGGAGGCCGAGGCGGGCGGATTGTTTGAGCTCAGGAGTTCGAAACCAGCCTGAGCAAGAGCGAGACCCCGTCTCTACTAAAAATAGAAAGAAATTAATTGGACAACTAAAAATATACAGAAAAAATTAGCCGGGCATGGTGGTGCATGCCTGTAGTCCCAGCTACTTGGGAGGCTGAGGCAGGAGGATCGCTTGAGCCCAGGAGTTTGAGGTTGCTGTGAGCTAGGATGACGCCACAGCACTCTAGCCCGGGCAACACAGTAAGACTCTGTCTCAAAAAACAAAACAAAACAAAACAAAACAAAATCAAAGGAGACAGAGAAGAATGTTATATTATGATAACTGGGTCATTAATCCAGAGGCTGTAACTATTATAAACATACATGTACCCAGTATCAGAGAACCTAAACCTACAAAGCAAATATTAAAAGATCTGAAAGGAGAGAGAGATTTCAGTACAATAATAGTAGGGGACGCCAATACTCCACTTTCAACAACACACAGATCATACACACAGAAAATGTATAAGGTTTCTTTCAGAGTAGAGGAGGGGAAAAAATAAAATTTATAAGGAAACATTGGACCTGACCAATGTCTTGTCCTTCACATCAAATGTACTTTAAAGACATATACAGAACATTCCATCAAATAGCAACAGAATACATACTGTTCTCACACACACGAGGAACGTTCTTCAAGATAGATCATATGTTAGGCTACAAAGCAAGTCTGAAAAAATTTAAGATTTTCTTTCACATTCACAACCTGGCTAATTGTTTGGTGCAACGGATCTAGCTTTCAGCCTATCTCAGCTTTCAACATGCCTTCCCCATTAAACTTAATCACTTCTAGCTTTTGATTTAAATTGAAAGACACATGACTCTGCCTTTCACTTGAACACTTAGAAGACACTATAGGATCATTTGTTTGTTTATGTATGTATGTATGGGAGATAGGGTCTCGCTCTGTTACCCAGGCTGGAGTGCAGTGACATGATCATAGCTCACTGTAACCTCGAACTCCTGGGCTCAAATGATCCCCCTGCCTCAATCTCCTGAGTAGTTAGGACTACAGGTGTGTACCACCAATCCCAGCGACTTTTTTTTATTTTTCTGTAGCGAGGGGGTCTTGCTATGTTGCCCACGCTGGTCTTGAACTCCTAGCCTCATGCAATCTTCCTGCCTCAGCCTCTCAAAGCATTAGGAAATAAAGGTGTGAGCCACCACGCCCAGCCTGTAGGGTTATTAATGGTTGTGTGTCAGTGAACAGGGAGGTCTGAGAAGGAGAGAGACAAGGAAATGGCCAGTCTGTACTGCAGTCAGAACACTCACATTTATTAAGTTCACTGTCTTACATGGGCATAATTTGTGGCGCTCCAAAACAATTATCATAGTAACATCAAAGATGACTTATCACAGACCACCATAATAGAAATAATAATTTAAAAGTTTGAAATATTGAGAGAATTACCAAAATGTGACATAGAGATATGAAGTAAGCACGTGCTTTCTGACAAATGGTGCCAAAAGACTTGCTTCACCTAGCACTGCCACAAACCTCCAATTTATAAAAAATGCAATTATCTGTGAAATGCAACAAAGCAAAGCACAATAAAAGGAGGTGTGCCTAATATATAATGCAGTATTAATACTACTCAGCCTTAAAAAGGAAGAAATTCCTGTCATTTGCAATAAGATGGATGAACCTGGAGGACATTATGGTAAATGAAATAAGCCAGGAACAGAAAGACAAATACTACATGATCTCACTTTTATGTGGAATCTAAAACAATCAAAATTACAGAAGCAGAAAGTAGAATGGTGGTTAGCAGAGGCTAGGGAATGGGAGTAGGAGGAAGATGCTGGTTGAGGGTACAAAGCTTCAGTTAAGAAAAATAAGTTTTTGAGATCTACTGCACAGCATGGTGACATTTAATAACAGGGTATTGTATATTTCCAAAAAGCTAAGAGAATAAATTTCAAATGTTCCCACCACAAAAAAGGATGCATATTTTAGGTGATGAATAAGTTATACATATAACATTACTTTGTACCTCATAAATATAGAAAATTGTAAGTTGTCAAATTACAGTAATATTTTTTAAAAAAGAATTTGATTTATAATTGTAAGCTTTACTTTTTCAAAGCTAAATGCAAAATGAGGACAGAAAGAAAGCAAACAGAAAAACAAAGGGATACAGAAGAAAAGAGAGAGGAAGAGACAGAGACCAATGAACAGAGATTAACTTGCATAGTCCCAGTAACACTGTTTAATCCTGTAGATCTAATAATGCTGGAAGCCAGCCATATTTCTTGAACTTCTTGGGCATGGAGCCAATAAATACTCTGTTTTGCTGACGTTAATTTAAGTGAGATTTCTGTCACTTTTAACTGTGACAGCTGTGACTAATAGTATATAGGAATATCTGAAATACACTAATGTTATTGAAATAGTATCTGAAATACATATTAATTTTATCAGTTCTGTAGTACTCTTTACGAAACATTTGAAATTTGAATATGTATTATTTTTATATCAAAAATGTTACTCAAATTTTGAGGGGAAAGCTAAATATAGATAAATGCCAAAAACAGAGAAAAAAGACAATCTAAAGAAGAAATTAAAAAGAATGAAACAATACTAATTTGCCTTTAATATATCATGCATTTAAAAACATAACACAGAATATCCAATTACCCTATATCCATTTCTTCATTAACTCTTTCCATCTACTGTTAAAAACTCCAATGTTTTAAGCAAAGAAGATTAAGATGAAATAAACATTTTAACAAATAAAGGAAACTCAGAATGTGTCAAATTTGTTATCATTATTGTACCTGGGCAAAACAAGTTTAAAAGGGCACAAAGCCTCTCTTTTTCTATTCGCCTAATTTTCCCTTAAGAGATTACTATCAAAATCACCTTGGTGAAGGAGTTGCGCTCGATAGGCTGGAAGCGAAGTTGTAAGAAAGGTATGGAGTCGAACAGCCAAAAGAAATTTTAACCCACATTCATCAAGAGTTTCTCCACCTACAACCAGAGGGGAAAAGTATTTACATATTTTTATTTGTAAAAAATCATTTTGTAAATGAAACACAAATAATAATTCTGACAATCAGCATATGTCACAGTACCAAATATAGGCACAAAATATTCTTAAACTGACAAAAGAAGTTATTAGTACAAAAATTTTCTAACATTTTTTTTCTACAAAATTTTACATTACAGAAGAAAGTAATATAGTTTAATAACTGGAAAAACAATAAAGAAGAGAACGAAATGATTCAGGGTCTAGGGCATTCTTTATAATCTGACCTTTTCTGATCTGAATCTTATTTAAATTAAAACATGACTAAATTTTAAATACTTCTCTGTGGCATATGTTACAGTGATATTTTCCACATTGATTCAAATCATGTATCTGTTCTGATAATCTGCTAACACTGGAAGAAAGAGTTACATGGTGGGCCTGATTTCTACTTTGAAGTAAAAATTAAAAACATAAAACACTTATAACATATTCATATCAAAAAATAGTATCTCGGCCGGGTGTGGTGGCTCACGCCTGTAATCCTAGCACTCTGGGAGGCTGAGGTGGGTGGATTGTTTGAGCTCAGGAGTTCGAGACCAGCCTGAGC